TTTTAAAAAAGTCTATAACAGCTTAATTACATTAGCTAATATTCTAAAAACCTAAACTTAGATACTAGGTATACTAAAGTATAGATCTATAAGATTAGATTCTACTATATAAATTTGTATCCCTAGTAATAAAGAAAAAAAGAGAAAAAAAGCAGATATAGTAATAGTAATAGTAATTACTATTTTTCTCTTCTTTTTTTTCTCTCTTTTTTATTTATTATAAATGTATTAAATATAATTTTTAGAATTTAAATTTATAGATTTATAGACTAGTTTACTTAGCATCTATATATTAATTTTTAGAATTATAGCTTATGTAATTAAGGAATAATAACGTTTTTAAAAACATAGTAATTACTATTTTCAAAATAACGTACTTCATAGGCGAGTTGCTTACACACCTAAGTTACTTACTTTTGCTAAGACCCTACTACACTACTCTTCCTACACTAATGCATTCCTAACAACACTACTTAAATGTGTTAAAAGAATGTTAGATGCAGCTTACACTTTAGGCTTTTAAATAAAACATAACACTTTTTAACTAACGCGCTACAGCTATCTACAGGGTCTTTTAAAAGATAATAAGTAACTAACACGCTAGATAACCTTTTTAAGCTAATTATATAGCTAACTTATAAAAGCTAGATAATAATAAGAAGCAGGTAATTATTTAGCACATACTTAAGCTAGATGCGCAAGAATTTCCCCCCTAGCTAGTAGCTATAGCTAATATAGCTAATTCTTTACACACTAAGCATAATATAGGCTATATTAGCATAAACTAGCTTAATATATTTATTAAGCATTACCTAAAGCTTAAAGTAAAGTTTAAGCATAAGTATAACTATAAAAAAGCTTATTATAAAAATCTTATAGTAATTTAAAGCTAGTTTAACCTTATAAAGAATATTAAAGCTAAGTATAGCATCTAGAATAACAACATGTACAACTTTAATAAGATAGGGTTTATAATAGGCTAAATATCTACTAGAGCAGTTATTACAGGTTTAGAAAGACAAGGACAGCTAAAAGCAGTCTAGCTAGGTAACTAGAAGTAGACAACAGCTATCTAGGGCATTAATGCTAAAAAGTAGGCTATTCTACCTTTTATTATTTTCTAGGGTAGCAACTACTTTTTAAACTAGTATAAGAAAGAAAATTTACTTTAAAATTAAGTTATTATAATCTAAGCACAGCTAGACTACTAATTAGCTTAGTCTAGACTAGTTAAAGCACTTTAATATGCATATAAAGAAGTGTACTGTTAGCAGCTACTGTCTGCTAGTTATTAACAGCTATAAGAGCTATAACTTACTTTATTTTTAGTAATACTATAAAAATAATAAGATTATTACTATTTATATACTTTTTTACTTATTGCACTTTTTATAGCTACTTAATGTAAGTTGTTTTACTTTTTTAAAAAAGGTGTATAAGCGCTAAGCTAAAAACCTTATGCGCAACTAAATTACTTATATTATAAAGATAAAGTTCCTGCTATGCTTTAAAGCAGCTTATAATGCTATAATTACTTCTAGTAATATCTAAAGAGGGTTTTAAAGCGCTAGATTAGTTCCTTTTAACTTATAATAGGTTATAATAAGCCTTAATGTAAAGTTGCGCACTTTATTACTACTACTACTTATATATAATAAGCCTTAGCAGTTATAAACTCTAAGTAATACTTTAGAACTTAGGTTATAATTAATGCTTATAAAGATAAAGATTTAGAAGTATATAAATAGTTTACTAACTTTTATAGTTAAGGTGTTTAAAAAGGTCTTAAAAGGGGCAGTAATAATTATGTATAAGCTAGTGTTAGCGTAATAGGAAATTACTAAGCTTTAAGCAGCTAATAAGGCTGCTACATAACATAAATTATATAAAAGAAAGCAGATTAAGGCAGAAAGGACCTTAATAATTTAGAAAGGCCTGCGCTTAACAGCTCTAAAGGAGTTTAGAGCGCGCAGTAACAGGAAGAAGGCAAAGAAGCAGGTGTAAGCTAAAGTAGGTAAGCTATCCTAAAGGCGCTGCAGATAGTGCAATTAGACTAGGCATAACGCGCAAATGTGTAAGCAAGAGGCAGAAGTAGTATCTAAATAATATTCTAGGCTATACTGTACTATATAGTGCTAGAGCGGGTTGTTATAGGCTATAATAGAGTTTGTTGGGGTGGGGTCTTGGCAAAAGTGAGCGACTCGGGTGTGTGAGCGACTCGCCTATGAAGTACGTTAGTAATTACTATAAAGTAGCAACCCTGAGGATTAGGATATCTTAGGCAACTAGAAGATTAGTGTAAGTAAAAATAAATAGACTAATAATAATCTTAAAGTTACCTAGCTAAGGCACTTTATTAAGTATACTAAGAATAAGATAGTAGGCGTACGCTAACTTCAAGTCCTAGATAGTTATATAAGCTATTACTTAGCTATGTTTAAAAACCTCTGCAGAGAGAATAATATCTACACGCTTTATATACCTCTATATTTATTACATCTTTTTTAGCTGCTTAATGTTAGCTGCTTTTTACTATTAAAGTATATATATAAAAATAGAATTAATAGCTTAGTCTACTACTATATAAAGCATATTACTAAGCTTAAATTTCTGCCTTCTTTTAGAGCAGCTTTTTAGAAAGCCTTTACACTAGAGAATATTTACATATGTTTTAGAAGTGTAGAGCTAGTCCTACTTGCGCTAAAAGCAGTACTATTAAAGCTTAATGTAGTTATTTATACGCTTTTACTACTACTACTACCTTAACTAGAGACTCTTTAGGTGTTGTAAATACTAAGTAACATATATAAACTTAAGGCGTAGTTAACTTTACTTTATATAAGAATTTAACAGCATTAAAACTTATCTCTTATATAGATGCTTTAGTTGCTAGATTATCTTACTAAAGGCGCTAAAATAGTAATGCATTTAGCTCTACTGCTATGTAATTAGGTCTCTGCCCTTTAGAAAGCTAATAAGGCTGCAATAAAGTAAAGAGCGTGTAAAAAAAAGGCAGATCTAAAGGCACAAGAATATAACAATTAAAGAAGGTGCAGATATAGTTGCTTAAAGAGACACATAGCAGCTAGCAGAGCAAAGTAGGCAGCAGAATGCATTAGCATTAGGGCAAAGTTAACAGGCTCTTGCGCGTTGTAGTTGCTGTAGGGAGCCTAGTTATAATTCTTACACATATAAAAAGAATACTGTAGACGCTACTTTATCTTAGATACCTACATTTTTATAGTATTTTAATGCGTTGTTAAGTTGGGTTGTTTTAAAGGTAGAGAAAGTTAGTAAGGCTACTAACTTGCTTGTGTTCTATGTTATATATAAACCTTTGTGTAAACATCTAGATATTCCCCTTTTCCTCTGTATAGAGGAAAAGACAGAGCAACAGAACTAGAAACATGTTGCCTCTACCCTACTACCTACTTTGTACGCTGTGCATACTGTACACTACTCTTACTCTTGCTACTTAAGTGCTTATACTATAAGCAGCTAGCTAAAAGAGCCTATTTAACAGTAACTTTAATAAGTAAAATAGCTTTAGTAAAGTAAATATCTATATTAAATAGTTTTATTATATATTATTATAATTATTATTTTTACTACTTTAAATCTTTTTTTATAAAATATCTATTTATAGAAATAGTAATTACTATTACTAAAACGTGGCAACCCTGATGTGAGTCCTAGGCACCTTCTCTTCTATTAGGGTAATACAGTGTGTCCAACCGTTAGTACACCTAATAGTACAGTACTGCAGTACACTGATTTTGGTCACGCACGTACGTACAGGGCATCTACTTAGTATACTGTACTATACATAAGGCTGCTGTACTAACTGTTTACAGTAGTTATATAAAATTTTAATAGTTTTAGGCAGTTAAAGGCAGGTTAGTAAGAGCTAGAGAGCTTATGTTTAGAGATTAATGCAGAGAATGCTGTTACTGCCTGTTTTGTTAGTAATCTTTTAATATATTTAGTAACTATGCTATCTACTTTATTCTTTTACCTATTATAATGTCTTAATTTTTATCTTAATTAATAACACAGTTATCTTAGCGTGTTACTACTTTGTAGGCCCTATTCTTATAGGCCTTATCTTTATAAGCCTTATCCTTACATGCCTTATCTAGCTGTTCTGCTACCTAGATATATTATGCTGCCTTATCCTAACACTTAGAGAAGGCCTGTATAGCCTTACCTAGTCTATCTACACTGTCCTTGCGTAAAGCAACCCCTTTAAAGCATATGTAAGATACCTAGGCTAAGGAGCACCTAAATAATCTTTACTGTAACATTAAAATTACCTTAAAGATTAACTAGAATAATATATAGTGTTCTTGCGTTAAATTAAGCGCAGAGTAGCTAAGATATTACATAAAGCACAAGTTGCAACTTCTTAGGCGTTAGAAGGTGTTATTTATGTAGAGATACAGTGCAGATCTGCAGCATGTTACTAAGGTAGGTAAAAAGAAGTAGCTGTGGCTCTATTAAGCTTACTATAAAGCTAGTATTTAAAAGGCAGCTAGACTTGTTAATAGCAACGTCTATATAGTAAGGCATCTTAAAGTAGTTTATAAGATTAATGCTAACATTAGCGTACTGCTAGATAGCCCTTAGAGGCCCTTAAATCCCTTTATAGCAGCAGCAGAGGTAGCAGGAGCAAGGCGGCAGGTAGCTTATTCGCTGTGGCAGGAGGGTGCTCTAGCGCAGGCGCTTGTTGACTGGGTGGTTGTATGTGATTAGTTGTTGCGACAATTAACCTTAGCTAGATGTTAAGGTCTTATTGCCTAGAATTAACTTAATCTTCTTAATACTCTCTCTACTTCTCTAACTGCGCTATTATAATATCTATTTCCTATTAATCCTAGCAACCTTGTGTAAGTGCGAGCAGTGCTTCTTATAGGCTAAGAAGACTATTACAATAAGGAGGAATTAACTATTAGCGTTAACAATAGAGGCTCTTTAACTGTAGAAGAATTAGGTACGTAACAATGTTGTTACTAGTGAGCTAACTAAGCTTACAGAGTACATTAAAACAGTAAGATTAACAACTGTAGATCTTATAAGGGGTATCACAACTTTCTAATTAGGTATAGTCTTTAGCTTCAGCGCAATTACTTTATAATACTTTAATATACTTCAGTTACTGTATCCTAACCGTACACTGACGTCATGTCCTCCGTACAGTTAGTTAGTAACAGCCGACTCTTCCGTAACTGTACTATACAGCCTCCAAAAGGCTCCGTAACTAACGGTTGGACACACTGGGGTAATATGATGTATGTAGGGGAGGTAAGAATAAGCTAATCAATGATACACGGATACACAGAAACCATTAACATCTTCTACTCCTTCAACAACTTCAACTTCTGCCTTTCAGACGACCTTATCAAATTTGCGCTCTCGATCCCCTCAACACGCCTACCTTCCATCAAGGCCTTAACTGTGAACGCACCAGACTCCCATAAGCTGCGGTCATACGAATGGAAAGATGTGGGAAATGTTATTAGCAAAATGTCAGGACTTCGGAACTGTCGGCTTCTCATAATAGCTACTCCCGACGATGTAGGTCAAGCAACCGCTGGCGCTCGACACACAAAACGAATTATCAGTCCTATTAAGACGTGGGAAACAAGGGATGCGTTCGTGGTAGGTTTGATTTCATACTAACGCCGTAGGATTCTGACATGGAATCCGACGTTTAAGTTCATCTCGCAATGGGTAGACAAGGATAAGAAATGAAGCCCAGCGATGGGGCGAAAGATTCAACTCGCTTTGGGAAGAATCTTATAACCGTAGGAAATCTTCGCAGTCTCTCTATGAAGTGTGACTTTTCAACTAACCTTGATATTTATTGTGCGTAAGTCTTAAACTATTTTATAATCAGGTCAACCTAGTAAATATCTAACAACTTCCCACCAGTTCCGGAACGAGTTCTAGTGGTAATTGAACGTACCATCTGGAAAGGTATCAAGCCTCCCTTTCCCTAATTCGCACATATTCTACTGTAGAGTTCTTTATTCCCCATGTCTTAGCACAGACGTTCTTTTTCTTATTATTAGAATACAACAAACCCTTCAAAGCTTAATGCCCATCATTAACAACTATCAGACAGCGGTTTAAGATATTATTATTGGGAAACTCATTGCAATCACGAGGATGCACCTACTACAGCTCGGGAGTCACTGTGGCCCGTTGACTTACCATAATCTTCCTAATATTTACCTTGGTTAATATTCGAAGACCCGGCGTGGCTTCACAATTAATGTGACATTTCGGGATTTTTAATAGGATATTGTTCTGAACCTATGTACTAACCGAACCCTCTTACCTCCATCATTGCTACTATGTAGTATGCCTGTGTATTCATTTGAACCCAGTGGTATAGTACCAAATTGAACTTAAAGTAGAAGGGAAAGGACTTGGGCCCTAGAATATATATACACTTGTGATCCGAAGGAGAAAGGCTGTGGGAAGAATACTGCCGCCACTATGCAGAGCGCTTTGCGAGCCTACCCAGAATGTTAAGGAGGCCTGTATCTTGTTAGAAATGCCCGAAAAAGAAGAATAGATAGGGGAAATGGCGGCTGCAAGCTCACCGACAGTACCCTGTGTAAGTGTGGTCATTGCGACCGTGTTGCGATTTCCCACACTCACAGTGGTGACATTCTTGACTTCACCAGATTCACTCAGGTTCTTTGCCCATCGGAAGATCACCTCATCATCGCGGTCATTGCCGACGACCATCAGGAACTCTGGGCGGTTCTTCATGTCGAGGTTCTTCATGATGTGCGTGGCCGCGGTGCTCTTGTTGTATTCCACAGGTTCAATGATGACGGAATCCTTGGTAGGGACAGCCTTGACGCGCTGGGTCTGACAGGCATCATTGATATGGTTCGCACAGTCTCCTGCTCGTCGGGCTGATGCTTCGGCGGCGTCGTCACCATCATCGTCAGTCTTTTGGTAGTGGAAGATGATTGAGCAATGGCGCTCCTGGACTGAACTGCCTTCAACTCGCTCCAGATAATATTGGAGGATGCTCTTCACAGCTTCCTTCCACTTTGTGGTCTTCTCACTGTCTGGGAATTCGATCCACTCATCGCTATTTGGGAGACGGAGACAGCATCCATTCTCAGCGATCAGACCGAGGTTGGAGACCGTACCGAGAGTTCTCTCAATCTCTTTCATTGTGCATCCGCTCATGACATACACGAGGTTCTTGTTGTCTAAAATGAGGCTATTGAGAGCGTCGATGACCCGATCTGGGCTAGTCAAGACAGTGTCTTTAGCAGGTCCGTATGACGTCAATGTACCCTCGTAATCAAGAATGAAAAGACGAGTTTTTGATTGTTCGTACTCGTCTTTAACTTTGGGGTACGATAGACGAGGAATCGATAGCATGTCGCGGCGGTAGTGCTCATCATGAACTTTCGCGAGGTGCGCGGTGAGATTCTTCATCCAATAGGAAGCCGAATGTTGCATTACTACATCTCGCATCCTGCGATATCGTCGCTCTTTCTCCTCTTCTGTCATCTCTAGCGCGATCTTGATCGCCTCGCAGCAATTCTGGTAGTCCCATGGATTTACGGCGAGCTCGTTGCCCTCAAATATTGAAGCACTACCAGTGAACTCGCTGAGGATAACTGGTCCGTATTTCTTGTCGCTGGCCCTTCCATCCTGGCAGAGAATGAACTCGTGGCAGGTAAGGTTCATACCTTCGCGAAGAGAGGTAATCATCAGGGCGTCCGCGACGGTGAGAAGAGCTACGTATTGTGAGAATGAAATATCCTGCTTCAGGAGGACAAGTGGTTGGTGGTATAAACTAGAGTGTTGAGTGTCAATTCGATTTAGGATCTCATTTACACCCTTCTCTAGCTCAGCGTTCTCCTGGTCGGAGGTTGCAACCTGAATCAGAACCACCTGTTATTTGTTAGATCGTAGCGACATCATAGGAGTCTGGGAGAGGGCACCTTGTCTTTCCACTCAGGGTATTTGTTGAGGAACAGCTCAAAGGCTAGCAACTTCTGTCTCACTCCACGAATATAATCGAGCTTGTCACGGGCAACAATAAGACGCTTTCCCTTGTAGCGCTCTTGCATTGACTTAATCCACTCGTGGACTTCCGGATTCTCGCGTTCAATAGCCATATCTTTAGGATCAACGCCAATCGGCAGTGACCACACATTGACGAAGTGGTTTTCAAGCTGAACGCCATCTTCGGTGGCCTCTACAGATAGAATTCGGCTACATGTTTGCAAGAAGTGGTGTGCGTACTCATGCGTTTGAAAGGCGACTAGGTTTGCGCCAAGCATTCCCTCTAGTAGCTCCTTCCTAGATGCCAAACACCGGAAGACCTCGGAGGACGGAAACGCAGCGTGAAGGAAGAAGCCAATCTGAACGTCTGGAAGTCTGGCTCTAATCATGCCAGGCACGAGAAGCAGGTGATAGTCGTGGATCCAGATGATATCTTCTCGCTTGTAGTTGTCGATAACCTTGTTAGCAAACGCCTGGTTGACATTCTTGTAAAACTTCCATGAATCGTCCTTGTAAGCCTTGCTCTTTGGGTGGTCAGGAATCTGGTAGTGGAACACGGGCCACAGGATCGTCTTGCAATACCCAGCATAATGTCCGGCATAATCCTTGTCACTGACAAAGACGGGGAGGACATCATGCTCTGACTCAAGCTTCTCATGAATCTCGTCCCTCTTTTCGACAGGGACTTTGTCAGTGGGGAACCCAATCAGCCCAACGGTCAAAACATTCTTGAGACATCCAGTGTTGATTGCAGCTCGGATGGCGTTGTTGAGCCCTCCATTGCCCTGAGGAGAAGGCACAAGTTCCCACGGTTTGTCCCAGCGTGCATCTTTGCTCTGGTCTCTGGAGTTATGGGTCCTACTTCGTGGTACTAGGTTCCGCCCTGCCCTTCCCGCTGGAGCAGCGGAAGGATCCTCGAGAATGGTCTCTTGTAGACCAGGGTCAGTAGTAGATGACGGTTGGTTGAAGATAAGCCCGCTGCCGCTCCATTCTGGAATGTGGGAGTCACTGCGAACTAAAGTTCTTGGGTCGTTGGGCCTCGGGAAGTAGGTGGCTGCGCTTGGCTGGACCTGAGTGAAGAATTCGGCAGTAGTAGCAGTAGCAGCTGGCGTCCTCGGTGGCGTGGGTGTAGCTTTAGCAGCTCCAGAGAGAAGGCTAGCTAGCTGCTGCCCACTAAGGTCGAAGGATGAGTCTTTACGGTCCGCCTGGGTTTGCGTGCGTCGAGGCAGACTCGAACGTGGAGGAGGAGGGGACTCATGCTCGAAATGAATCGTGTAGGGGAGAAACCTATACCGAGGGAAATCAGTTTCTACCAACTGAAATTCAGTAAAAAGACCGCCGCCCCTGCAACAGCTGCTGCGGAAGCTCTTGAGGCTGGCGGACATGGGTAGCGACTTACAGCGAGACGACGATGGTCGTTCCTCCGTTCATGATGGAAAGCGCGTCGCTGAGTCGTGTTTCTATAAGCGCTAGGTATATATAATTTGAGGATGAGAGAGTAAGGAAGGGAGGAGTGGTTGGTGAATGTGTATTAGGTAACGGGGAAGAAAATTCGGTGGTGGTGACTTCGCGAGGCAGGTAAAGGTTGGGCGCGATTTAACCTCACGTCACCGCAAAATTGAAAATGAGCGCAGGAGCAAGAGTGTGTGGGCCGCCTAATTAATTCCGCCAATGTACCATAGTTCAAAGAGTGATCAGACTTGTCACTCAATCTAGGGGATTTCCTTGGTTTTGGGCTGCTTTGGACCATTTGAAGCAAGAAGGGCCTTCAAGGACATTCCTGAGTACAAGCTGCCCCGCCATATGACGTAGTTTTGTACCCCCCACATTGAATTAGGTCTCACGAGGACCAACATCCACGGAGTTTGCATACGGATTGCTCCTCATACCATCTTTACGTGTTGGCAAGGCATTAAACTCACACTGCTCTCTGCCCCGATGACAGGACATCCGCCCCGCAGGAGCATTTCGCGTTCGCCCACGTAGCCAATTAGGGCGTCCTTTAATTGTCACCGTGATCGACTCCACCAAAATGCCGCAAGCCCCCATTTGCGGATGTTCTGCTGGAGGCCCATCCAGCTGAAATCAGCTCGAGCTCGAGTATCTAGCAGCTTCTGCACATGAGGGACGTTGGCAAAAAAAGACCTTGATACATTTGACGCTGATTTAGAGGCTTCATGCTAAGGAGCCCCGTGCTGGAAGTCTCCGCGCGACTTGAACGTCAAAGAAACGTTGATATTACACATTCCAATGCTGCAGGTGTGGGGATAGGGATGCGGATCCAGGAAAATTGCCGCTTCTTAAAGTTGCTAAAAAGTTTGATCACGTACTCACCTAATCTATTATGTGCAAAAATTAGGAAATTTCTTAGCGTTCCTTAGATCTTTTTTTTCCTTACTAAAATTACATAGAAGATTATAATCTTAATAGAATTTTTAATATATTAATAAATTCTTCTTAAATATTATTAGTAAGTTAAAGCTTTAAGTTTATAACGTACCTAACAGGTTAGCCGGCCACACAGGTTGGCCAGCCACTTTTGCTAAGCCCCCACCACACTCTACCTATCTACATAATGCCTTAATAACAACACTAGATTAAATCTTCTAAAGAATGTTAGATACAGCTTACTTTTTAAGCTTTTAAATAAAACTTAAAACTTTTTTTATAACACGCTATAGCTATCTATAATGTTTTTTTACATAATACTAAGTAATTAACACGCTAGACAGCCTTTAAAAGCAAAATACTAGCCTAAATTAAAGAATCTAACTAAGCTTAAAAAAAAGGTAGTTATTAAGTATATACTTAAGCTTATTACACGCAGATTTCTCTCTAGGCTTATAGCTATAGCTAATATAGCTAATTTCTTACGCGTAAAGCGTAATCTAGGCTAGGTTAGCTTAAACTAGCCTAGTATATAGGTTAAGCACTACTCTAAGTTTATAATAAAGTTTAATTATAAGTATAATTATAAAAGAGTGCTTTATAAAAATTTAAAAGTTATCTAAGGCTAGTTTTGCCTAGTAGCTAACATAAAAGCTAAGTATAGTATCTAAAATAAAGACATTGTGACGGCGTGTACCGCCTCACATGCTCTGCGGCATCAGCTCCCTCGCTTGCGCAACGAGTAGCACGCCAGTGCTACAAGTAGCGCCTTGGCAGGGGGCACACATGTATATTTAAACTCGCAGAGCAGCTCCTCTGCTCCTTAGTTTAATCTAGTTGAGTTACACCACCTCTTGCTTGTAGCTTAAGCATGCTGACTGTGACATTAGATTAAACTCCTCAAGTGACATGAAAGCTTGAGTATCACGCACACGCATACGCACACGCATACGCACACGCCTAAGTTTTTTTTGTCATTACACACGCACACGACTCCGGGTCGACAGACGCCGACATACCCCGTCAAGTCGACGGTGGAGACAGTGCGCGACCCCTCTTCTGATCTTGGAGGGTAAGATCAGTTAGAGTATGCTCATACCCTCACCACGCCCACGATACAGCTAGAGATAGGTTAGCTCGGTTGCTACGCTCTAGCTTGTACGCACATGTTTCTTTTT